TAATCTTGGACTACATTGGCCACCGTAGGAGTTAAAACGAAATCGGAATTGAGAGGAACAGAAACTAATATTGGTAAAAATAAGTGTAGCTTTAAGTTAGCATAATTAAATAATTAAAAGCATAACAAATAGCATGATAAATACACTACTTTTCAAACGTTTGGGGATGTTTTTTTTTTTTAAGAAATTAATACTTATTTTCAGAAAGGACGCGTTTAATTGACAAACATGACGGTAAATTAATTCATATTGTTACAAAAACGCTACTTTTAATGTTACTTTTGATTCTTTCTATTCATAAAAGAATCCTGAAAAATATGTATCCACAAAAAAGATGCACAACTGTTTTCAACATGATTATAATCAGAAATGTTTCTTGAGCAGGAAATCAGCAAATTAGAACAATTTCTGAAGGATCATGTGACGCTGAACAATGGAGCGATGATGCTGAAAATCACAAGAATAAATTGCATTTTAAAATATATTTAACTGAATATAATATATAGAAAACAGTAGAATGGTAGTGTTAATATTTGTATGTATTTTTGATCAAGAGAAATCTTTAAAAAACATATTTAAAAAAAAAATACCAAGCCCAAACTTTTGAATGGTAGTGTAAAATATTTTAAATGCTATTTAAAAATGTCATTTAAATAATAAAACTTTTATTTCAGTTATTACAGTAATGAAACTCTGCTAAATTCACATTAAAATAATGCAAAAATGATCCAAAATATAGGCCTATTATTTTTTTTTGGGGGGGGGGTGAATGAGAGGTACATCCTTACATCCAGATTGGCATTGGAGAGGTCTGCCCTTTCCAGGTTGGTACCGCAGAGGTTGGCGTGTGTGAGGTTACAGCGGCTGAGGTTGGCCATCTTGAAGTTGATGTAACGTAGGTCAAGACGAGAGAGATCCGCCCCACTGAAATTCAGGCCCTAGGAGAAACAGTTCACGCATTTCAGAGATTAAAATAATGCACAAAATAAAAATATAAACCAGTGCAAATATTCAGTGGCTACCTGACATCGAAGCTCTGATTTGGTTGGAGTGGCAAGCAGAAATCGCACAAACTCTTTGCGGGAGATGGGCGAGTGGTCTTCAGGAGGCTGGGAATTCTGAAACAGGAGGAAAAACCTATTGTTAATATTTATGCCCAAGTCAACTTAACTTTATGTGCATCTTCTTTTACCTTAATAACTCCTTCAAGCTGCTCAGCAAGACGTTCGATTCCAAAGAAGCGGGCTTCTTCAAGCACACCTGTTCAAAATAGTGTTCAATATGTACTCAAATTTACATGCAGTGAGGCTAGCCAATCACAACAGAGCTCATTTACATATTAGAACATCACATGAGGATTACATAAAATCTTAAAGTTAGCAAAAACAGTCTGGTTAAATATAATGGTGCGTCCGAAATCGCGTAGTGTCTGAGTAGTACATACTACATTTGAATTCATGACCGTTAAAAAACTGTGTTCTATATAGTATAAATGTGTGTAGTATGAATGTAATTCAGATAAACTACATCTGCCATGTTGTTACAATGCTCTATTGGGTGGTTTCCCTGCACGCTTAATAAACAAACTTCAGCTGGTTCAAAACACAGCAGCTCCAGTTCTTACAAGAACCAGGAAGTATGACCATATTAGCCCGGTTCTGTCAACCCTGCATTGGCTGCCTATTAAACATTGTATACATTTTAAACTTGTATATTTAAGTTCAGTATTACTGAACTTAAATATACATGTTTGATAAAAATCATCATTAAAGAAGAAAATTTCAAATGGCATTTAGAGGCTTTTGCATCTGAACTCTTCATATATTAAAGTATTCAATTTCGGATGCAGCGTAAAGGCTTGAAAAATGCTCATGGAAAATGAAATGATGTTGTTTGGTGCAAGAAACCTTCCCTAACATTATAAGTGGACAGCAGAAAAAAAACAATGAAACGCTATAAAAAGGGTGGAATTTGTTTCGTTTTAGTTTTCAAGCCTCTTACCCAGCAGATTGATCCCGTCATTGATAATGAGCTGTCCGTGTCTCAGGTAATTTAATATGGGCTCAAAGTAATCTGGACTCCGGTCAATGAGATACGCTCCTTGCTCGTCCTGCTTGTTTCCCCAAACATCTGCCAGGGAAAAATAAAACTGTAGTATATATAAATGCAATAAGACAGCACATGCACAAACACATTTGACAAAAAAATATTAGATCAATACTTACCTTTGTCTCTGAACATGTGAGCCAACATGCTCTCCGGTTCTTTGACCAAAGTGCTCCTAACAACCATAGGAAAGTGTTAAAGTGTTAAATTCATCACACAGAGCAGCTGTAGAGATTAAATAGGTTGAGGGAGTTACAAAGCATTCAAAATACATCAATTAAAATAAATATATATATAATTTTGCTAATAAAATAAGATATTTATTACTGAGAAATAATTGTTTTTATTTTCTCTATTGTAAATTCACATTTCAGTGGCTACTGACCTTTCTCTAGAGTCATTAATTAAGAAAAAATATTGTCAAGACTGCATCGCATAGGTGACCATTGTCATGTGGTCGGATACCAGTGCTAGAATTCCAGTCATTTGTAATTACATTACATATTTTTTATAATTAATTATATATATATATATATATATATATATATATATGAAGAGTTCAGATGCAAAAGCCTCTAAGTGCCATTTGAAATTTTCTTCTAGAATGATCACTTTTATCAAGCTTGTATATTTAAGTTCAGTGATTTCACTTAAATGGCAATGATAATTACCTATTAATTGTTATTTAAGTGAAATTACTGAACTTAAATATACAAGTTTGATAAAAATCATCATTAAAGAAGAAAATTTCAAATGGCATTTAGAGGCTTTTGCATCTGAACTCTTCATATATATATATATATATATATATATATATATATATAAATTATAGATATAATCAGGGTGTAGGATTACGTAATTTGCAAACTTGGATAATGTAATGTTTTGCTGAATGATTTGTAAGAAATACAATTTTGGAACAATTTTCATTCACATTTCCCCCAAAAATTCTCATTACTGTAATACATTCAGACATTTTCCTTTTATTAATACTTTCCATAATCCTCAGTAATGATTATAAGTAGTTACCCTCAACAGTGTAATAATGTTAAAGACACAATTCTTTTTTATTTAAATCGGGATAGTTAAAGACATGACAACAAAACAATGGAATTTTATTTATATTCATTTATATAACTTTATATTAATTTATATATTATTCACAGCTATTAAATACAAACTTTGTAATATTTTATTTCACATTACTGTAAAGAGAAAGAAATGTTTGTTAATTGTCATGAAAACAATGCAAAAGAGATGCTTGCTTGTGATGGTTTAGAATAGCTTATGGATTACAGTTAATGAGATTATTAGTGTGATGATGATGATGTGTTTTGTGTACAGTGACATCACCTTGTGGTTGTGAACCGCCGGCCTCCCACATTGAGTGTGATCCAATCTGTGTGCGCCCAGGAGTGAAACTCATGCGGACTGTCTGGGTTATTTGGTGGATCTGTGGGACATCATGATTCAATGAAGACGGATGAAGACAATTGAAAACAGATCTGAGATCAAACCAATGTTATATTTGCTAACTCACCGACAAAAGGGTCTCCATCCGATATATACAAGACATCATCATCTCTGTTAACAAATGTAACACCAAATGTTTATGTTTTTGTTCATGATTATGTTTATATAAATACACATAAGAGAATTACAGTTATTACTTACCTGATGAGCGCTATATCATCGATAAGACCTCCTTTCCCATTGTATATGTTGGCAGCTTTTAATCCAAATTTTGTGCTTGCAACTGACAGTAGATCAGCTAGAGTTCCATAAACAGCCACCACCTGATAAAAGCAGCCATGAATGGAGTAGCATGCTATTTTTTCAGCAGTCTTTAATTCTATATTTAAAGAACAATAGATAAAGCATACACACCTTCCCATTGTGTGAGGTTCCATTCACAAACAGCGTGACTCTTCTCATATCCGAGGTTATAATGTGACTCTTGTGTGTTTATTTATATTGTTTAAACTCCACGTTACTGTAAAACATCAAAGTATTTCCGACTGCTGCAGAATACTGTTTACTTCCGTAATGACTGTAGCCAATCAGAGACTTTGAAAAACGGAGCGCAGCAGGGCAGGGCAGTTCCAACGGGGGGCGGGGATAGAGGAGTGAACATCGTCTCTGAGGTATGGCTCTGGGTCTAAAGTAACTTTGTACATTTACATTTCAGTGACTACTTACCTTTCTCTCGTGCGATTATTCAAGAAAAAAAAAATTCATAAAACTTTTTTTTATAAAGCGAGACAATTTTATAAAAGCACCTTTATAAAAATAAGTCTAATTCAATAGATTTCACGGTAACACTTTACAATAAGGTTCATTAGTTAACATTAGTAAATGCATTAACTAACATGAACTAACGATGAGCAATGCATTAGTTACAGTGTTTATTAATCTTTGTTAATGTTAGTTAATACAAATACAGCTGTTCATGGTGCGTTCATGTTAGTTCACAGTCCATTAACTAATACAACCTTTGATAACGTATTAGTAAATGTTGGAACTAATATTAACTAAGATTAATAAATGCTGAAGAAGTATTGTTCACATATTGTACATGTTAACTAATGTAGTTAACTAATGTTAACCTTATTGTTGTGTTAGCGCTTGTTACCGATTTCACAATACTTTACTATCGATAACAGCAACTAACTCCAAAATGTCATTATATAATTGTATAATATTAATAGCTATAGTAAAAGTTATATTATAGTTGATTTAGGGACCCTAAGAAAGATGACTTTTGGGTGTATTAAAAAATGTCATACCAAGTCAAACCAATGTGACAAAATTCAGCAATCTTGCAAACCACTGTTAACAACATCAGCAAAAATGCACAAGAATCTGCTTTCATCTACAGAATGGACAGAGGCTTATTCCAGACATCATTAATTTATTTATCATACTGAATTTACAAAATTAAAAGAAAAAGCAACAATTGAAGAAACAGGTTTGTACATTTTAGTCCTTTTTGTCATTTATTTTTTGTGTGTTTTTTTTATGTTTTTAACAGTTTTGAATAGCAACCCACTGTACACAAGGCTTATGATGATATTTCTAGATCTTTAAAAAGAAAAACAACCAAGATGCTCTAACTTTCCAATGACGACACTGGAGTAAGGCGAATCCTAGGTTGGACAAACTGGACTTAAACGCAACCCTGCTACCCATCATCCCAATAGAGAGCAGCTCTCTTTCAACAAACACTACAGAAATACTAGTGCCAGAAGAGCTTCTAAATCCATTCGGCCACCCTCTGCCTTCTATAGCCACGTCAATCAGATTTACATAGAAATAACACACAATCTCTGTCATCCTGTTGTTTTCATGCACTAATCGGGAATTCGGGGAGAGTCTGAATTTACATCGAAATCGTGCCACAATGAGACGTCTTATGGCAACATGAAACTCACTGGACGACTTCATTAAAGCTTCAGTCCACAGCTTAACAATATGAGAATCATGGGAAATGTGAAATGTTCAGTGGAAGAAAAAAAAAAAAACCTCAAAAAGGGCTACTGCTCGCATCAAGTCAATTTCTGTGTGGGAACAGTTATGGTCTACAACTTAAAGCTGAAAAGCATAATTCTGAGAGCAAAATTTCTAGACCGTAAACAACTCAAAATGGTTCTTTACAGCCGCCCCTTTTCATAAACCGATGATTCCACATTAAAATGTACTGTATACTAATAATAACACTTTTCAAGCAGCGATAAACATAGCTACCTACCGCGTACATTGTATTTCAGTATACATTATTAAGTTCCCTTGAGTGGTTTCAGCCTCGATACGGTCAAAGGGAGGGACACGGACAGGAAACGCAGTAGTGTCCATTACAGTGAATTGTTGTAGTGGTGAGCGATGCCTTTCCTATTGTATACGTTCGCAATTAACGCTGCAAAACACTCAAATGAATAAGAATAAAAATACTATGTTGACTCAACAACTTCGACCTCTTCGGTTCTGGAATGAAATTCTTACAACAGAGTAAAACATTCACCTTCATGTTTCATTAGAATAGATATGACAATATCATAGAGGGCAGGGTAAATAGTGTAATAAATATCTAAGCGCAGGATTGAAGCATTGGCTTTAAATGAAACAATAGTTAACAGTATTGACTGATGCCCTGGTGTTTGATGGGTGCAAAACGGGCAATGGATGCCCGGTCGTATCCTGCCCCAAACTCGCTCTCAGGGTGTCCCGAACGAGAGCTGGGCAGAGGACACGGAAGGCATGCCTTAGCTGCGGATGGGAGGCCCGGCGGGTAGGTGGGTAGGGAGGGAAACAGAGGGAGGCCAAGCGAGAGAGGAGAGGGATGTGAAACCGCAGAGATCAGGGAGGCTGGTGGCCTAAACCCCATTAAAAAGTCTTCCGGTGGATGGCACGGGCGCGATCTTCCTCGTATTCTTTCTTGGAGACCCACATCTTCTTAAAGGTGTCGAGTGAAGCCAGGATAGATCCCCTATACAAAGCAGGAGGGAAAAACACCATAAAATCCATCCAAACAACTTAACTTAAAATACATAAACTACTGTTCAATAGTTTGGGGTAGGTAAGAAATCTCTTCTGTTTGATCAAAAACACAGTAAAACAGTAATACTGCAGTTTGTTTTCTATTTGAATATATTTAAAAAGAGTAATTGATTCCTGTACATTTTCAGCATCATTACTCCAGTCTTCAATACGTTACCCTTCAGAAATTATTCTAATTTTCCGATTTGCTGCTTAAGAAACATTTCTGATTATTATCAATGATGAACAAAGTTCAAAAGAACCGCATTTATTTTAAATATAAATCTTTTGTAACCTACTAAATGTATTTACTGTCACTTTTGCTTAATTGAATGCATCCATTGTTGAATAAAAGTATTAATTTCATTCTTTATTTTAAACTGATCTCAAACTATTGAACGGTAATATTTTTTAAAAGGATTATTAGGAACACCATACTAATACTGTGTTTGACCCCCTTTCGCCTTCAGAACTGCCTTAATTCTACGTGGCATTGATTCAACAAGGTGCTGAAAACATTCTTTAGAAATGTTGGCCCATATTGATAGGATAGCATCTTGCAGTTGATGGAGATTTGTGGGATGCACATTCAGAGCACGAAGCTCTTGTCCCGCCACATCCTGAAGATGCTCTATTGGGTTGAGATCTGGTGACTGTGGGGCCATTTTAGTACAGTCAACTCATTGTCATGTTCAAGAAACCAATTTGAAATGATTCGAGCTTTGTGACATGGTGCATTATCGTGCTGGAAGTAGCTATCAGAGGATGGGTACATGGTGGCCATAAGGGACCTGGTCAGAAACAATGCTCAGGTAGGCCGTGGCATTTAAACGATGCCCAATTGGCACTGAGGGGCCTAAAATGTGCCAAGAAAACATCCCCCACACCATTACACCACCACCACCAGCCTGCACAGTGGTAACAAGGCATAATGGATCCATGTTCTCATATTTAGGCCAAATTCTAACTCTGAATGTCTCAACAGAAATCGAGACTCATCAGACCAGGCAACATTTTTCCAGTCTTCAACTGTCCAATTTTGGTGAGCTCTTGAAAATTGTAGCCTCTTTTTCCTATTTGTACTGGAGATAAGTGGTACCCAGTGGGGTCTTCTGCTTTTGTAGCCCATCAGCCTCAAGGTTGTGCGTGTTATGGCTTCACAAATGCTTTGCTGAATACCTCGGTTGTAACGAGTGGTTATTTCAGTCAAAGTTGCTCTTCTATCAGCTTGAATCAGTCGGCCCATTCTCCTCTGACCTCTAACATCAACAAGGCATTTTCGCCCACAGGACTGCCGCATTATGGATGTTTTTTCCTTTTCACACCATTCTTTGTAAACCCTAGAAATGGTTGTGTTTGAAAATCCCGATAACTGAGCAGATTGGGAAATACTAAGACCGCCCCGTCTGGCACCAACAACCATGCCACGCTCAAAATTGCTTAAATCACATTTCTTTCCCATTCTGACATTCAGTTTGGAGTTCAGGAGATTGTCTTGACCAGGACCACACTCCTAAATGCATTGAAGCAACTGCCATGTGATTGGTTGATTAGATAATTGCATTAATGAGAAACTGAACAGGTGTTCCTAATAATCCTTTAGGTGAGTGCATAACATGTATACATGTTCTTACCCTATCCATGTTGAATAAAGTCTCTCCTGTGGTGCAGATATCTGAAACAAGAAAAAATATATTATTATTTAGTGACAACACAGTTCTCAAGCAAACTAACATTCCTTAAATGTGCCAGTCACCTTAATTTTAACGTCTTTTGGTGCAAGTTTCTTCACTTCACTTAACAACCGGTCTCCAAAACCTGAGGAACAACAAGACAGACCTTCAGTTTTCTCACTGGATGGAGAACTGAAAGAAGTTCTTGACTGAAATGTTTGCCTTACCTTTGAGGAGTGTTGAGCCGCCAGACAGCACTATGTTTGAGAAGAGGGTGCGTCGCAGATCCATGTCTGACTTCTGAATGGCAAAGGCTAGCACTTCATGAATACCCTCACTCTCATCTCCAATCAGATCAGGCCTGAAGAGAAGCTCTGGAGCCCTGAACCGTGCCGGGCCAATCTGTGAGAGGAAAACAGCTGTGAGTAACACCAAATGGTTTACATGAGAACTAGTCAGTGATTATCACTGCCCTTTATTGCAAAGATGAAAAAATACACCAGATTATGGAAGGTTATTTCATTTTGACTTGAACCTAAACTGAACCTCTACTGAATTTCAATTAAACTAGGATATGATACATCATTTTATACACTAACATCTACAGGTAAATTCATTCTTACATCTAGAGTGCTTCCGTCGGGTAGGGTGTATTGTGCTTTTTCAGTTTCTAGAGTTTCATCCTTCTGGGGGTTAAGGGAAAGGTAGCAGGCTCTCTGGAAAACAAATAAAAAAGCCTTTTTTCATTTTTTCTTCAACGTGACACATCTAACATCTAGATTATAATTGTCCTTAAAAAGGAACCGCAAAATAAAGTTTCACATAAATCGAGATGTGGAGTCTCATACCTCCTTGATGGTGCGAACGACCTCGAACTCTGCAGAAGTGTGGAAATCGTAGCCTTCCTTGCGAAGGAGTAGGCGGAGGTATCGGGAGACGTCACGTCCGGCGATGTCCACGCGCATGATGGAATGTGGAATGGCGAAACCCTCGTATATGGGGACAGCGTGTGTCACACCATCTCCAGCATCCAGGACCACACCTGTGGTTCGGCCTGTGGCGTATCTGTCAGGCAGGAAACGAGTTTGCATGAGAGAGGGAGTATGAGGCGTGATATCAGGAAGAAGGACATTGAAAGCTATGAACTCACAAACTGAGCACCGCCTGCATGGAAATGAACAGCGCCGGCACGTTGAAGGTCTCGAAGAAAACCTCTGCCGCCCGTTCACGGTTTTTACTGGGGTTCAGTGGTGCCTCGGTCAACAGTACAGGATGCTGAAAGATACAGAAATAAATAAATGTCAGAACAATACAGCACATGACAGTGCTGTTAATTACTATTAAAAAAAATGTTTGGTAATTAAAATAAAAATGGAGATCCAATAAAATATAAATATCAGATGTAAAACTTGAAAATGAGGGGGAAAAAAGCTTTTAAAAAAACAATTATTAATTATCAAAACAATAAGTAGATGAAAAAGTTTAACTTAAAATGTTTTCTTGGAAACTAACAGAAATCAATAAGTTATGTTGAAGTACTTAAAGGAGTAGTTCACTAGTTCACACCAGACGATGAATAAGGGTCTTATCTAGTGAAACGATCGGTCATTTCAAAAATAAATAAAAAAGTTTACATTTTAAAAGCACAAATGCTCGCCTTGCTCTGTTCTGTGATGAGCGTTTGTGACTCTCCTGTTCAAACTCGTTCATCAAAATGAACAAATCTTTTTTCGAGTTATGACTCGAAGGGTCCTAGATCAGACCCTTATTCATCATCTGGAGTCGTTTAAAGCCCTTTGAAGCTGCACTGAATCTCTCATTTGGACCTTGAACCGTTTGGTTCCCATTGAAGTCCATTATATGGAGAAAATCCTTGATTGTTTTCATCAAAAACCTTAATTTCTTTTCGACTGAAGAAAGAAAGACGTGGACATCTTGGATGACATGGGGGTGAGTAAATTTTCAGCAAAAGTTTTTTTTTTTTTAAAGTGAACTACTCCTTTAGAAATAAATGAACGCCAAATGGAAATATTTAAAAGAAAACAAAACAACAAATAAATATGCCTCTAACCCAATAACTAAAGCCTAACCCAAATATAAAAATAAAAACTTAAAAGAATGAATAAATAATACTAATATAATTTTGGTGAAGATTAATACAAAGAAAATGAAGATAAATTCAATCCACACCTCCTCGGAGAAGGTCTGCAGCTGTTCCTTTGAGTACACATACTGCCAGATGCGCTCCATATCATTCCAGTCTTTCACGATGCCGTGTTCCATAGGATAGCGCACGGACAGCAGCCCCCTGTGCTCCTGCATATGACACAGATATAAAAGCATGAAATCAAAACTCCCCCTTTCATTTGCACGTTATATTAACTTTTCTCTTCTGATGACATGCACAAAATATTATTAACCAATAGCATCACAGGTTAAATCAAGACCCACTCAATAATATTTACTGAATACTGTTGCACATTACGGAAGTTCAATACATTGTGAATGTCAAGAAAAAACACATTTTTTAATAGAGACAAGTACTTCAAATAAAGTTTTACCTCAGCTTTGGGTCCAATAAACAGATCACCCTCAAGGGCACCGGCCATCACCCGAACATGCTTGGGTCGCCCCACACTAGAAATAAACCGTTCTGGTTAACATAACACTACAACGTGTGTACGTGTATTTTGTTTTAATGTTTTTGAAATAAATCTCTGATGCTCACCAAGGCTGCATTTATTTGATCAAAAAATACAATCAAAATAGAATTTTGTGACATAATTATTAAAATTTAAAACAACTGTTGGCTATTTTAATATGTTTTAAAATGTAATTTATTCCTGTGATGCAAAACTGAATTTTCAATATCATTACTCCAGTCTTCAGTGTCACATGACCCTTCAGAAATAATTTGAATATGCTTAATTGCTGCTAAAGAAAATTTTTTATTCATATCAATGTTGAAAACAGTGCTGCTTAATATGTTTCTGTTAACCGTGATACATGTATTTCAGGATTCTTTGATGAATAGAAAGTTCAAAAGAATGCAATTTATTTAAAATAGAAATATTTTGTAACATTAAATGTCTTTACTGTCACTTTTGATCGATTTACTGTAACACAACCTTGCTGAATAAAATTATTTCTTTAAACCTCTGAGCCCAAAACTTTGAAGATTTTTTTTTTTCAATGTACCAATCAAATGGTTACTCACTAATTTGGGAAACAGTATTTAGGGATCTGATCTCCAGCAAAGCCAGCCTTAATAACTCCAGAACCCTGTAGGAGAAAAAAAAAAGAAAATTAAACTCCAATTGTACAGGGAGTAAACTGTATAAGTAAAATGGGTAACACTTTATTTTACAGTGTCCTTGTAACAAATATTACATGTAGTTACTGTAATAACTACAAATGATGCATAATTACACACAACTAACCAAACCTCAATCCTATAAAACCTTATAGTATATAGTAAGTATAACCCTATTGTAAGTAGAGTTAATTATTATTACACAGTTCTTAAATGCATAATTACACTGTAAAAAAATGTTTAACAGTAAACTGTATGAACTAGTCTATTTAAACTCAAAGAGTGAATGTGTTGTGAAATGATTCATCTAATGTTCTGAACCCTCCTTGTTTGATCTAGAGTCATGAGACACAGCTGGAGGGAGAAACAAGACATTCAACCAGAGATCGAGACACTGTGAGAAAACATCCCAATGTTCCCTGTATAACAGTGTTTCCTCTACATTCATTCTCCCGTGGCGGGCCGCCACACTTAAAATCCTCCCGCCACGGCTGCAGCTTCTCAGTGACGTCCGATATTCTGCATAGTATTATGTTATTTTGTTAAGCCCCACTAAAGGCATAAAAAACTTTGTAAAGCACAATCAAGTTTTCACCCTATATTCCAAGACTTCTAAAGTCATTGCATAATGTGTAATTTTAGTCGCTAAGTTAAAGTTAACGGAAAGTCATCTCGCCTCAGTCATTCTCCATTCAGAATTCACACAGCTCGTCGCGTTCGTTTGCGACACGACGACACTCTCTTCAAGGTCAATATTCCCATTATTATACTTCATTTGTAGATAAAGCATAAAGGTCTATGGTTTTCATAAAATGACTTTATCTTGCTGGAGTGGAGTTTATTGCCCATACCTTTCACATTCCCTTTATGTAAGATTACAGCATGGAGTCGAGAGAGTGCTATTGTTCTTCATGCGCACTGAAATTTAAAACTGTTAAAAGAAAAGGCTCAAAAAACTGTTGCATATAGAATACACTAAGCATTAGTGCTGCACGATTAATCATATCGCAATCGTAATAGCGATCTCAAACCTATGCAATTATATAACGCAAAATGCCGCGATTTTATATGAAATAAACAAATTAGGGCTATTAACGCAGCATCTCTTCTTTTTTGTCATCCTTTGACTAGTGTTACACAACACGATCCTGTTCTTATTCGTGGAAATGCCTTTTCGCATTTTGCACGACAAGAACTGAAAAGCTGCCTGTGAATGCCCTAAATGAGACTCGCAGAAAGACGCGCGCCATAATGCGCATGCACTGACGCGTGCCAGATTACAGTTCTCTTTCGAGCTTGAACGAACAATAACACACACAATTATGCCAAAATGTCGTTTTGTCGAGTATCTTCATAACGTAAGAAAAGTCTTAAGGACGAAAGGAGTTGTGCTATGAGGCGCATGTGAGATCCGCGTCTCAGCAACGGGTGCTCTTAAAGGGCCAGCAGCGAATAAAGCGTTCTGTCAGTCAAGTTAAAAGAATAAAGGGAAATTAGAAAATTACTCACTGATCTTGACTAAAGAACTTTTGTAGCTTTAATAAGGATTATTCTATATATAATTTATAATTCATGCAGCACATACTGTTTGATAACTTTATTCAATTTCTGTATCCTACCTGTTAAGACAGGAAGGGCACAGGTAAATATGGTTTTTATTATGGGTTTATGTGGGGATTGTTTGAAGTTCACTTAATTTAAAATTTGTTAAATTTTTTTTTTAGCCTAATAATTTTTTTTAAAAAGTTGATAGCTTTCACTGTAATGATGGTTTGGTTGATGGTTTATTGATCATTATAGGTGTTATCAATCATTTAGTTGTTGTCTGTAGTTTGAGTTGAGAAATAAACATTAATACACAGAATGATCACTAATCTGTGTGTGCATTTTACTTTAGAACCAAGCAAGTTGGACTCATGAAACCATTTTATTATATCGGAATCGCATATCACAATTGCAATATTGACCTCAGTAATTGCAATGGCAATATGACATTTTCCCCAAATCGTCCAGCCCTACTAAGCATATTATAGATATAATCCCTTCGCTATGTTCTTTTCAATGTGAAGCATTGCTTGCTGTGACTTGGTGTTGCTTCAAGTGCATCATTCTGCACACGGGATGCGCATGATCGATTATAATTCTTTGGGGAGACAAGGCCCCCCCACCGGGGAAATGGGCCTGCCCCCACAGCTTGGAAAAATCCTAGAGGAAACACTGTATAATATCACTCTATGTATCCCCGATAGTATATTATAATATCACTCTAGTTTATTCCCTGTATGTATCCCAATATCACTGCCATGGATTAAGTTTTCATTATTTTGACAACCTGTGACTTTCATTCAGGCTTTGGGGTTACAGAGCTCCCACCTTAAATCTGATTAAAGGTAGCTTAATAGTTCTCCATCTATTGCTCCACTCTTCTGGCTTGCGTTAAAATCAATTTTGTAATTTATAAAAATTATTTCAAACTATGAAATGTGGCTGTAAATACAAGGCGGGGTCACAGACAGCCATCTTGGCAACAATAACAACTCCAGCTAAAATACAGGGTTTTATTTGATATATTTTGTATGACAACCATGCGTCTTGCGATATTTCATTAATATGAACAATAATGGAATCATTTATTTGACATTTGAGAAATTAATTCAAAGAGCCATTGAAATGAGCACCAAATCAGCTTTACACCGATACTTCATACTGAGCACAGAATGCCTCAGAATAACGCATTTATGACAGACACACTGTTATGGTTTACATGATGAAGTTATTAGACGTGCATCAGACTGTGCACAATAAATAAAATCTAAAACAAAATCTAATTTAGCATTGACCGGCTAGCGCAGGGTTTGGCACAATGGCATTAGCTTTAGCCTCTTAGCACAGACTGGGTGTGGAGGGCTGCTGACATCATACTCACATTATCAATCACAACCGGCTGGTTGGCTATAATATCATACGACTCCATGTTCAGCCTGCGCTTGTGTGCGTTTTTCGGTCAACTCGTTCGCAAGAAGCAACGTTTATGATTTTCTGTTCATGTAAATAAAAAATAACCGTCGCTGCTTGGCAGTAAAACCACAGGCTGAGCGGTGATGCGTCAACCGAACCTCACTGTGGAGGGAGCCAATCAAACCCACGAGACAAGGAGATGACTGACATTTCATTTAGCCAATAGTCATTTGTTTCTGAGCGGTTCGAAAGCGCATTTGACAACCTGCTAGACTTACACAAAAATAAATAAATAAATAAATAAATTTCAGGTTCAGGTTCAGAAACAAATGACTGGAAATGGTAATTGGAAATGGTATTTAATTTCTTGTTTTTTGGGGGGCAAAATAATGGAGAGGAATAATGCACACGACTGCAGCAGCAGAGAGGAAGTTTTAAAACAAAACTTAAAAAATATTGAATTAGCATATTGCATTTTGAAAAATTATCCAACACACTTAATTTACTTTTTTTTTTTATTTAAGCATTCTCTTACAATAAGTCATAAATACATACGTGGTTAAAAATGAAACGGATAATATAGCAAGTTTGGGACATTTATTTTGACAACCGGAAGTAGCTTATCAGGAAATAGTTCTTCATGAGGTTGTTGTTCTGTCCTCCGAGAAATTGAAAGTGTCAAATCAGACAGAGATCCAAACTAAACGACTATCCGAAAAGATTAATCTACAAAACATCTTCAGGTGAGGATCTTCATTTGAATTCAATCAACAATGGTGGCTGATTGACCAGTTGTGGTATGTTTATTGCTGTAAAAACTTAAATGTTGAAGAATGTGGCTGTTTGTTTACATTGAGTCATTCCAAGTGAAAATTGCCCTGACATTCACACGTGATCAAGGCCTGATTAACACAAACATAATAATAATGTAATTGCAAAACATTTATAGCGCATCTTTCATACAAAGACAGACGTTAGAACATTAAATATTATGTAACTATCATGCCATGAATCATATCATATCCTATACTATAGTTAAAATACCTTTTATTGAGATATTTGTAATTTCTGTAATATAAATGATGCTGACTACTACACTAATATAAGATCAATCATATTATGTGTTTAGCTCCAAGTATTAATGATCTCTGTTTACAGGTGTTGTACACTGAGCCTGCTCTGGCTCACTCATGTTGGAGCTGGAGACCGTGGATCAAACCTGACACAACATGGCATGTGTAGATGAACCTCCAGAGAAGTGAGTTTTTCCATTTGATGTGAATCACCATTTAGTAGTACTCTTAGATATCATATGTGCTCACTAACATCTCAACAACAGGCACTGCTGGGTTTGTTTTGCCACGGAGAAGGAGGATCGTGCTGCAGAATGGGTCAGTCCGTGCCGCTGTAAGGGCTGCACTAAGTGGATCCATCAATCATGCTTACAGCGTTGGCTTGACGAAAAACAGAAGGGAAACAGTGGTGGAGCCGTCAGCTGCCCGCAATGTGGCACTGAATATCATATAGTTTTCCCCAAAATGGGTAAGTATTTGCACTTCACCTTTTTGAAGAGAGACTTACTGATACCAGTTCCCTCTTTCGTTCCTATGTCTTGTCATGGACTCTTACTTTATGCATATCCTTATTGCACCAGATCACTGCCCGTTTATAAAAATATTCTGGATAATTTTGTCCTGATAAGAATGTAGTATCTAACAACCAGTGTTGTTATTAACTAAAACTAAACTATTCAAATATTTTTTGTTAACTGATGTAAATAAAATAGATGGAAAACATAAACTTAAATGTGAATAATCATTGAGATACTGAAATAAGTGTTAAGTTGAAATGATTTTTGTTAACTGAAATAAAGATGAGATAAATTATAAATATTAAATGAAAATTTAAAAATAAAAAAAAATTAAATTAAAAGTAATACTGAAATAAAAGAAGTGTAATTTGAAATACAAAAAATAATGAAACCCAAATAAACAGAAGTTAAAAACTAGTAAAAATATTTTATTAACTGAAATAAAGCTGAGATCAATTCAAAATATTTAAATATTTAATGGGAAATTTAAACTTTAAAAAAATGTGAAGGAAAATTGAAATACTGAAATAAAATAAGTGTAAGTTGAAAATTGAAATACAAAAATTACTAAAACCCCCCAAAAGAATTAAAGCTAAACTATCAACAACAAAAAATTGTTAACTGAAATAAAGCTGAGATAAATTAAATATAAATATTAATGAAAAACTTGAACTTAAAAAAATGTAAACGAAAATTGAAATTCTAAAATTGCTATAATATTTTTAAAACTGAATTAAAAAAATGGTAAAAGCATATAAAGCAAGCTGAAATTAAAATGAAAACGGTCAAAATAAATGTTCAAAATATTAATAATTACTCTTAAAAGTGACACGAGATGAAGGCCAAGTATAGTAACACACTACTCGGAATAGTGTCCTTTGTATTTAAATAATATGTAAGTAATACTAAATATTGTTTTGTATAACGGTTTTGCACTCATTTTCACTTATCATTTAAGTACATCATCATCATGGATTTAATTTTTTGACAAAGTAGCCCAGAAAATGTGACAAAAGTGCACAGATGCTGTGTGGGCTTACTAATGACTAATACTCTGTCATTCTGTGTGACTGTTATTTTGGTCATTGAATAGGGAAGTGTTAAATGTGTGGTTTTGTCTCTCTTCCAGGGCCTCTGGTGTACTTCCTCCAGCAGGTGGATCGAGCTCTGTCCCGGGCAAGTCCGTTTGCTGCGGCTGGAGTCGTGGTGGGCACCGTTTATTGGTCAGCCGTGACCTACGGCGCCGTCACGGTTATGCAGGTGCGTTGAAGACAGGAGGAAGAAAGGAGCTTGGCTCTCCTTGGCTCTTTTGAACACTCTTTCTTCTCTGTTTTTAGGTGGTGGGGCATAAGAAGGGTCTGGATGTGATGGAGCGTGCGGATCCTCTCTTCCTGCTCATGGGTTTACCCACCATCCCCGTCATGCTGGTACTGGGGAAAATGATCCGCTGGGAGGATTACGTGGTGCGGCTCTGGCAGCGACACTCTTCCAAGCTTCAGATCTTCAGTGGGCTTGTACCTGGTATGTGGAAGACAGGGTTAAACTGGGCTGTAGTTCATTGTTGTTCTTGATACTTAAAGGTGTTAAATGTAATTTTTCTTCTAAAATGAATCCTTTTTTTATTGCCTGTGTGAGAAGGGGTTGTAATCACACATTACAATGATCCACTTGTCGGGTTTTGCTAATACCTCTGAAGGCCAGTATTCCTATTTCTATGTGAAGTCGCCGGGTCGGATGTGACGTGCATGCGCGCTCCCGAGCCTCTCTGATGTGTGATTCTTCGTTGTGTTGAAAGTCTCAGTGTGGCCGGTAGTGAGTGCTAGCTCTTGAGTTCGAGCATGCACATGAACATGAGCGCTCTTGTTGCAATCTGAAACATCACCGCTAGAGGCCGCTAAAAACTACATATAGCACCTTTAAAGTAAAACTGTGAATTTAAACTAAAATTGAAATTAAATCTATCTATATCTTATATCTGACAAAAGCACATAAGAAAATTACTTAAGCTTAAACTAAATTTAGAATGCAAGGTTTTATTTTTATATTTTCAGTTTTCATTTAGATTAAAGTTTGTTTTAGTCATTTTGTTATTAAGAAAAACTATTATATTTTGCTTTAATTCATTTTTATATTTTCAGTTAATTTGATAAAGTACTAATATTACTAACATTGAAATGGAAATAAAAAAATCTAAATATAATTGTTTAATAAACAAACATAAATGACTATAACCTAATCTAAAATGAAACCTTTTATTTTTGTTTAAGTTTTAGTCATTTTGTTATTTGCTTTTGTCATTATATATAAAAACGCTTTTCTTTAAGCGTTTATTTTTATGAAAAGTGTGGAATTTTCATTTTAGTTTGGTTGTCACTTTTTATTTGATTTTGTTATATTTATTTTTAAATATTATATTTAGCTTTTTTATTATAATTTTTGTTCTTCAACAAATTCCCTTTAATTTTTATATTTTCAGTTAAGTCATATAGTATAGTATATAGTATAGAAAAAAGTCTGGGTTTTTTTTCCTTAGAATTGGCCTGATAATTCACAATTGCGAGTTTATATATTTGAGATATAAACTCGCAATTGTCAGAGAAAAAAGGCAGAATTGTGAGAAAAAGTCTAAATTCTGTCTTTTTTTCTCGCAATTGCGAGTTTATTACTCAGAATTGTGACTTTATTTCTCGCAATTGTGACTTATTTCTCAGAATTGCGACTTTATATCTCCCAAGTGTGACTTTCTCAGAATTGCGACTTTATTTTTCAGAATTGTGACTTTATTTCTCGCAATTGTGACTTTGTTTCTCAGAATTGCGACTTTATTTCTCAGAATTGCGACCTTAAATCTTGCAATTGCGACTTTATTTCTCAGAATTGCGACTTTATATCTCGCAGTTGCGACTATTTCTCAGAATTGCGACTTTGTTTCTCAGAATTGCAACCTTAAATCAGAATTGTGAATTTATATCCTGCAATTGTGACATTATTTCTCACAATTCTGCTTTCATATCTCGCAATTGTGAGATTCAGTGGCAGAAAACAAGCTTAAAGTACTAAAATGACTATAACTGAAATTAAAAAAGCTAAATACTGTTTATATTTTTTTTAAATAAAAGCTAATTCAAAATATTATTAAATACTATAACAGTATGTTATACATAATACTAAAATAACATCCATTTATCCAAAAATATACATTTTGACATTATTTACTTACCCTCTCATTATAAACCCATTTTAATATGTATAAATATTTAGTGGATAGCTCATTTTTGTATGAACTGTTCTTTTAAAGCATATTAAAATGGATGATTTACTCTCATAATCATACCATAAACCATTTTTGAAGTGCAAACTATAATTTGTTTGCCCAGGGATGAGTCGTGCTCTGCCCCGTGCCCCAGCAGAAGGCGGATACGGAGGAGACCATCTCTCTGTGTCTCGCACCCTGTGTGGAGCGCTCATCTTCCCCTCCATCGCCAGCCTGGTGGGTCGTCTCCTGTTCCGCAGAGTCACGTCAAACCTGCAGCGCACCATCCTGGTGAGAGTCCACAGCCCCGAGCGCCTATACCATACAACCTGGAATTACATAAGCAAGTGCAAAGCCTAACCCAGTTTTCCTCTTCCAGGGTGGCATTGCCTTCGTGGTGATTAAGGGAGTCCTGAAAGTGTATTTCAAACAGCAGCAGTACCTCATCCAGGCCAACAGACACATCCTGAATTACCCTGAGCCCGAGGGACGAGCAGACGGCGCTGTGGAGGATGACAACGAAGACAGTAGCAATGAATGAAGAGGATGCACTTGAGGAAATCAACTAAGGAACTGTAGTATATGATTCGCAGAATAAAAATACATATTTACGGATGTTTCAAGACATAATTTTTCAGCTTCACATGGCTCTAATATAGCACAAACACATTTGCTATGTGTTATTATAATGCAATGATGGATGAAATTCTTTCAGCTGTGAGAAACTCTTGCTGGGGTGTTGAAGTCCTTGTAATAGCGAAATGCAACTTCAGATGGCGCCAAAACAAAGCTGGAAACTGCACGGTGCACTGATGTCTGGTGAAGAAAGACATTGTTATTTATGCTGCAAATGTACCAGCAGAATCATGGAATGAGAGTTTATTGAACCTAAGGCAATACACACTTGCTCTTTAAAGGCAATTACTAATAAAGATAATACACCCAGAAACTTTGACTTTGATGCATTACTGTAAGCATTTTTTGATAAAGGTGGTACAACCTGGGAAAAAAGATTAATTTGCGTAATATGGGCAAGACCAGTCCAGAATCAGATGTCATATTTGACCCCAAAATCACAAGATTTTATATTTGTTTTACATTATTCACGTATTTTGCTTAAAGAAAATAAAATCAATTTTTAGAAACGTTAAGATTGGTTGCATTATTACATTATTAGGAGGTACAACATCTGGATCATTTCACTCCAAAAACTGAAGAAATAAGAAGTAATATTCTGCATAAAGATATATTTCTAGAGTTATTACATTGTTTTTGTTTTTTTGCATTGGATTTGTGCTGTATTAAATGTATTTTCAGACTGAATTTAAATGAGCTGTAATGCACTTGGACATTTATTATTATATGAGATTTGATAAACAAGGTTCGGGAGGACCAGGTGCAGTTAATTAACTCAATCAGCACAAGTGGAGAGCAATCAGTAATCAATTTAGGACACGATAAATAACAGCAGAACCCACACTTGTTCCTTGACAGTTTATCAGCATCCCACCTCCACCCCATCTCCTCTCTTTTAGTTCCATCTCTAGTTCCATCGGAGTACTTTGGGTTCGGGCAGAAATTCCGAGCTCGGAGCCCTCCACCCGGACAGCACGCCAAGTATGCATAATCTTTATCATAATAATTATATGTAGATGTAAATTTGTGAATATATTATTAGTGTATGTTTCTCATGTTAATGCAAAAGGCCTTTATGTAATAAAATAAAAATATATATATACACTCACCTAACTAATACTGTGTTTGACCACATTTCTAGTCTTCAACTGTCCAATTTTGGTGAGCTCTTGAAAATTGTAGCCTCTTTTTCCTATTTGTAGTGGAGATGAGTGGTACCCGGTGGGGTCTTCTGCTGTTGTAGCCCATCCGCCTCAAGGTTGTGCGTGTTGTGTCTTCACAAATGCTTTGCTGCATACCTCGGTTGTAACGAGTGGTTATTTCAGTCAGCTTGAATCAGTCGGCCCATTCTCCTCTGACCTCTAGCATCAACAAGGCATTTTCGCCCACAGGACTGCCGCATACTGGATGTTTCCCCCTTTTCACACCATTCTTTGTAAACCCTAGAAATGGTTGTGCGTGAAAATCCCAGTAACTGAGCAGATTGTGAAATACTCAGACCGGCCCGTCTGGCACCAACAACCATGCCACGCTCAAAATTGCTTAAATCACCTTTCTTTCCCATTCTGACATTCAGTTTGGAGTTCAGGAGATTGTCTTGACCAGGACCACACCCCTAAATGCTCGCCTTACTCTGTTCTGTGATGCCCGTTCGCGACTCTCTTGTTCGAACTGAATGAATCTTTTTTCGAGTCATTTCATTCATTCAACGAACAAAATTAACAAAATGACTCGAAAAAAGATTTGTTCGTTTTGATGAACGAGTTCGAACAAGAGAGTCGCGAACGCTCATCACAGAACAGAGCAAGGTGAGCATTTGTGCTTATAAAAGTTAATTTTTTATTTATTTTTGAAATGACCGATCATTTCGCTAGATAAGACCTTTATTCATCATCTGGTAGCATTAAAGCCCTTTGAAGCTGCACTGAAACTCTCATTTGGACCTTGACACTGTTGGAGTGCATTGAAGTCCGTTATATGGAGAAGAATCCTATAATGTTTTCATCAAAAACCTTAATTTCTTTTCGACTGAAGAAAGAAAGACATGGACATATTGGATGACATGGGGGTGAGTAAATTATCACCAAAAGTTTTTTTTAAGTGAACTAATCCTATGGGGCCAGTTGTTCAAAACATTTAATCTGGATCAAAATGATCCGGATTTGGAAATCCCATTTTTTCCTATCCAGGATCAGGTAATCCGTCATACTTTTATGCCAGTTTTTCAAAGCAACATTGCACTGGATCACCCTGATCCAGATACACAGTTTTCCAGATTACCAAATCCAGATTACCAGTGCTCTAAATGGGACAACATCACAATGTGGGATACCAGCTGTAAAGAACCAACGTGGGGCAACATGGGGTCACTGTAAGTGTTTCTTATTTTAAGACAAAACACAAATGGGGACAAGATCATTTTTATTTTATTTTTACTTTACTATACTGAATAGCTTAATTGTTAGCCTATGTCTACTTTATCACTGTTACAACAGTTACAAGTCAAGTGCAAAATATAAATAAAAGTATACAGTATGATACAAATGTATTATATGACCAATTTTAAGTTTTACTACATTTCCTTCCTGAAATCTACCTTGAAATCCTACCCCCTGTTGGGATCAGGATAATCCTGTTTTTTTTTTGTTTTTTTTTGTTTTTTTTATCAAAGTTATCCAAATCCCACTGACAAGTTTTGAACAACACAAACTGAAGGTTTGATCCAGATTAAAACTAGGATTGGATCTCTGAATCTGATTTCAGATTCCTTCTTTCCCTTTTGAACAACCCGTTTTCAAGATTTGATCCAATCCGATAACCAAAATCCGATCAGCCTACCTTTGAACAACTGGCCCTTAATAATTATTAATACCTAATGCAATAATTGAAGAAATATTTTTAAAATTCGATTTTTTTATTATTATTTTCAGTAGCGGAAATGGACATAGGCTACATATTGCATTAATATTAATAAGTAACATCAAAGTCTCTCAAAATACAAAATTAAAAAGAAAAAAAAAATTTACAGAACAAAAAATAAATTGCATTGGTTTTACTGGGATGGAGGAAGTTTTATTTATTTTTAGGTGTCCACCGGTCACTTTTGACAGGGAAGATAACAAAGGGTGCACCCAAATGAAGACCTGAGTGTTGCCGAACGCAGAACAGTTCTTCGTGTTAATCGACGAGTCGTCGAGTTTTCCCGCTCCCCGTCTGCCTGTTTGGCCCATATGGCGGCCAGAGCGAACCCTTCACACTGAGAGCGAGTGTCGGCACTCCGGCTGCCTTTTGAAGGAATGGCGAAGACCAAGACTGAGGGAAAGGCACCCCATTAATATTCTTCTTTGCTTCTGATCTCTTATTTCTTTATTTCTGAGGGGGAAAAAACTATGAATAATGTAAAAGTTTGCAGATGGTAAACGGCTGGCTGGGAGAAAAGACAGCAGGGGGAGCGCGATCGGCTCACCCGGGATGACTTCATTTGGGTTTAAAAATACACCCCCGCTCACAGCCGCAGAACTGGAGCAGCGCGCGCCTAAAACAGACCTCTGGCTCTGGGATTGTTTGTCGCTCATTTTTAAACATCTCTGCCAAGTACAGTTGCCTACGGCAGACAGTCAGGCTTTATTAAAGCTGTCAAACACAGTCAGAAGTGGAACGTATAGCGTTAGGCCTACGTTCATGACGCAGAAAATCTTAAACCCCACAATGCTTGTCAGACACTTACGGGCCATAAACATAGATGTAATCGGCCTACTTCGCACATTAAGTTAACATTTTCTCATTTGGCAGACGCCAAAGCGACTTTCATTGCATTTCAAGGTAAGTTATATTTTACATTCGTAGTTCTTGCTTTCGAACCCATGCAAGCGCCAGCACCTACTGTTTGAGATGCAGGAAAGATGCAAGTAGGCTAAATGCCTTCATTTTAAGGTATTTTCACCAAATATGAAATCAAAAGATTTGGATCGATGAAGATTCAAAAATTAGACAAAATGACACCAGAAGTTCATGTCACAGCCTTTGAGCAACGTTACCCATTTTATTTTATGATATATTTAGTGGTCTACCTTCCTTGATGCTCCAGATGGAAGGAAATGTAACTAGAATCATATCATCTATAAAATGATAGTCTATGCAAATGTATAAACACAGCAGAACCAGAGCAAAAAATGTCTTAAAACAATGACTCATTAGCTATGGCTATAACTCTCGTGGGTAATTCTGTTCTGCAGCCTTCCTTTTTTTAAATCTTTCAAAGCATAAATATTCCTAGTGTATTTTTTAAGGAAGTATTTGTATAAAATAGTATATCAAGGCATTCTTTCAAAAAATAGGCATGGTCACTTAAACTTTATGAATTTTATGGCTTGGTATTTTGCACAATATTGAATGACAGATTGGGGAAACCCCTAAAGTTAAGGCCCATTCATGGTTCAACTATAGTTTTCAAAAATAATTAAATGTAAAAGAATAGCACACCACACCACAGTCCACACCACAACTGTATGATAACCACACAGAAGAATGAAATTTTAATCACTTTTATAACGATTTTGTTCCAAGCTGATAACGATGAAAACTGCCAGCCAAAGAATCCATCCTGCTTTAAAGGGTTGATGAACTAAGAAATCAAAATTTCCTTGAGCTTTTGACATCTAAGAGGTCATCATATTATAAGAATATCCTGTAAGTTTCAGAACTGAAAACGTCCTTGTTAGTCCAATAAAAGCTTATATTGACACCAGCCTCAGCAAACGACTCGTTTTTCAAAGTGGGAAACTATGACGTCAAAGAGGATAAAACACCTCCCTCACAGAAGATGATCAACGCCTACTTCAACACTGCCGGTTTAGCCCCGCCCACCGATTCGCGCATTACACGCATAGCTAAATAACATAGATGCCTACCTCGTGATGACAAACCGGATGGAGCTACCGAGCAATACAAAATATTGTGGAGTGCCTGGTTGTGGAAGACAGTCGCTGCATAAGCTTCCTCTGGATTCCAATAGGACTGCATGGATAAACTTTATTTTTAATGACGTTCCAGCTGATGAGAGTAAAACGTTGTCCGTCTGTCCGCTTCATTTCACTGAGAATTGTTTTGTAAACAACACTGGATTTGCAGACCGATTAGAATAAAGAGTCTTCAGTGCGAGACGCCCAACTGAGCGTTCTTCAGCTAGGCTCCAAACTAGGGTACAAAATAGCCTATAACTTATTCATTTTGATGTTTCTGAATGCAAAAACCATGCGATCGTCATAAACTGACATCAGACAACAATATAATAAAACTTAAAAAGCCAGTTAATGACCCCTTTAAAGAGCTCGAGCATTTAAAGCGGCAGACAACTGTAGCGGCATATAATAAACAGAACGATATCGTGAATCGTGCGTTGGTGTGGACACTAATATAGTTACCACCATTATAGTTTACTATATTCGTTCTTAGTGTAAATTGCCCTTTATCCAGTTAGCCAATGCACCTAAGAATTTGTATTAGGCTATCTTTTTTTATTAATAAATACATTTTTGTAATATCAAACAGGATGAAATGTGAAAACAACAACTAATACCAGAAAACATCACAGAATTCATGAAATCCATTGCTAACCATTACTGATGCTCAAGCCTTCGTTTCCCCACCAAAAGTATGTCACTTCCGGGATGATTGAGGAACTGGCTTAGTTAAATGCAATACTAAATGGATAAATTAACCACAATGTTAACTTAACTATGAAAAAATGATTCTATTTCTTGTTTCATAATTTATCCAATAAACTTGAAAATGTGCTATATAGCTGGGGCATTTCCCTCAAACATCCAAGACTATCAAAATGTGCTGCATTAGCAAGTAGCCTAAATCTGATCGCAGAAACACTATAGGGGAGATTCTGTCATATCAAGCACTACACATCAAAGCTGCTGGGCTTACTTATATGACGTATGAATAAATGAACAAAAGTGGGGCTCATTTTCGATTAGAGTATTGCAGATAACCCACGGCAAGCAAATAAACTGTGATGAGAATTATAAAACAGATAGGAGATGAGAGTGACAATCCCTCTGGACAAATGATGATTATCCGTTTTCTATAAGCTTTATTTTGCTGGTGCGTCCCCAGAGGCTTCGGCCTACACATCCTACACGAACCAATGGATAGTCTTCAAACACTTCACTTTCGGTTATTATTAGTGACCTGCTGGAAATCAATGGCAATTTAAAATAAGTCCATCTTATCAAGAATGAGAAAACAAGATTAGCCAAAAAGCTTTTATCTGTGTGCCACACGTTTCATCTCCTCTAATAAGAAACCGCGGCAGCAGTGGAAAAGAAATGGGACACGTGAGACAGCAGATCAAGTGGCCTGAGATTAGTAACACCTCTAAACAGGACTCCTTGACCTGGACGCCGTTCACGCAAGAATGGCTGTGATTTTATCACCTGGGATGTCATGTCACGGACAGCGCATTGAAGAGCGGCATGATCTAGCATAAATTTAACTCTCTATGACAAAATGTAAGATGTCCTTTTGACCAGTGAATGAAAAAGACTATGTTTTATGGTTAATGATTATATAAATCACATAAAACCTTTCAAGGAAATGTCAAGGTTACATTTCACTCCCAAAATATCAAAAGGAATTTTTTTTTATGTGTATAATTATCTTGTATATATATACAGTATATATATATATATATATATATATATATATATATATATATATATATATATAAATACACACACATGCATGTATATTTAAGAAAAAAATATTATTTATATATAAAATAAATTATATATAAATCTATATACAGTATACATGAAAATATTTCTTAAATATACAAGCAAGTGTGTGTATATATATTTAAATTAATTATACACAGTGCACCCACACTTGGATTAATCACGATTAATCGTTTGACACTCCTAATATATATATATATATATATATATATATATGCAATACCTTGAATGCAATGGCACTACAGCATCTGAAAAATGAAAATCATACTGTACATTCAAATATTCCCCATTTTTTCCAAAACCACAGGAATGCTATAAAACCTGTACTCTCGTATCTGTGATGGGAAAATGCAATGTTATTGCCGTTATACAAGCCAGGAAAATTGCTTCTCAGATGGCAATCTGTTTCTAAAGAGGCAAACTCGGCTCGACTACCTTGACGGGAAAATCCAAAGGAAGATGCCTCAGGTGGAATGTTACCTTCATAAAAGATTTCTTTCTGTAAACATGCAGTGAGTGGTTCATGCATCGGTAATACAGACACTTCTGCTGTATATGCAAATTATTTCATCTTCAGTAATGAGCAGGAGAATGAGCGTTCAATGCAATTACCAGGGATGTCGCCACACGAGACAGCGAAGATTAACAAGAGAAACAACAAGTGACAGAAGTGAATGGATGTCATGTTTCCTAATTTATTTGCACTTTCATAACTACTATTCATAAGGCAACAAGAACGTCAACATCAAACACTTTTGTAGAAACTTAACTTTGCTTTGACTTCGATCATCAAGAAAACGTGCAATACCAAACTGGCATTGGCACAGTCATGAATCTATTGTAGCAGAAGATGGGTGTGGTAACACCGATGCTCAAACGTTTAATGTGTTTCCCAACGTTACAGAGGCACAATTCAAATTTCAAATGCAGCGTAAGCGATCTCACCAAAGCAACACAATAAATAGTAATAGATCCAATTCATTAAACAACAACAAAACCGGACATGAACAGAATAAATACTTTGGTGAGGGCACCAACTCACTGCTACAGTGATTTTAACAAAGAACTAAAAGAATCGAACATGAAAAGTAATTTAATTTTGTCTGCTGCGCAATCCAGTCTCATAAATGATCCTCTCATAACACAACAGCTTAAAAGCGTCATCAGAGGAATAATCACATTCTTGATGGAACATTCATCCCGTACAAGTTGTTCTTGGGGAAAGGAATGACGCCCTGACTACCGTAGCTGTCTTTAACATAACATCACGTTGTGTTCCTCGTAGTGGAACACGCAGACCTGGACCCCGGCAACAGTTGGTAGAGGTTGTTTTTAGATCTCTTGGGAACTGAACTGATGCAGAAACCCACATAGCAATTCCACGTCTCCATGGAAACAGTGCCAGCTCATTCTCAACCCCTCCCCTTGTTCTCTTCTCTGTTCCTGCAGTCTCTTTAGCAGTGAGCGCACTGTTCCGATCTGCCCAGAGAGCCCTGCTGCATGGACGAAACCTTGGTGACATCGGTGGCCACCGTTGAAAGCGGGAAGCTCTCGTAGGTCTCTGGAACGCCCCAGCCGCAATGGCAGCGCTGGAGCGTCGCCTTCAGCTCCTTCTGGAAGTTGGTGTTGAGGAAGCCGTACACCACCGGGTTCACACAGGTGGACGCCATGGCCATCAGGTGGCAGGCGGAGAAGATGACGTCATGCTGGCAAGAAGGAAGCACCTGGTGGTACCAGTCGAAGATGGTGTTGAAAACATTGAGCGGGAGCCAGCAGAGAGCAAAAGCGACCACGATTAGGACCAACATTGCATTGATGCGTTGAGCACCCCGTGCTTTTCTCTGCCGGGCCTCGGTGGCCTGCTCCACCATCTCCTTCCGTCTGCGCAGACGCAGGAATATGCGCAAGTAACAGACTAAGATGAGAAGCAGGGGCAGGCAGTACTGAAAGAGCAGAAGCGAGGTGGTGTACGCCAAACGGTTGCGTTCGGACGGCCAGAGCTCCATGCAAATGACGTGGTCGCTGAATGGGTTGAACGGCAGGCTGAGGTTCTGGAACGGGACGTTAGTTAGGATATTAAAGGACAGGAAGGGTAGGGAAATGAAGCAGGCCACCATCCAGGTGACGGCTACGGCCAGGTACGAATGGCCTGCGGCGGGCGTCCAGCCGGTGGGGTGGATGATGAGTTGATGCCGCTCCAACGCGATGAGGACCAACGAGAAGATGGAGACTGTGACGGACATGCACTGCACAAACGGCGTGACCTTGCACAGCGTCTCACCCAAGATCCAGCGGTCCATGAGCGTGTAGATGACCGTCACGGGGAGGCACACCACGCACATGAGGATGTCGGAGCAGGAGAGGTTGGCGATGAGGATGTTGGTGACGTTTCTCATCTCTTTTTGTCTGGATATGATGAATACCAGACAAGTGTTGCCCACCAAGCCCACCGCTATAACAGTGCTGTAGGCCACGATCAGAAGGGTTGTGCCACTCACAGAGGGAGGGCACACGTTGGAATCCACCCATGTTCTCTGGCCCAACACAGCTGAGGTGTTGCTGATGTTGTCTGAGGTTGGAGAGGCCTCCATAAGTCCCAAAGTTTGATGAGAAGCAGCTAGGCGTTCACAGAAGCATCCACCCTTCAAACACCATAAGAAAGTCGACTCATTGTTGAGGTCCTCGCATTTATTCACAGACGGCCAGATGGTTGACCTGGAGGAAAAGGAGCATGTAAAGACCGTTAGCTGGCATTAAAATGGGCAATATGTTGAGAGGGATTTAATGAGAAGGGATTTAACTCAACAAGTGAATCTCTAGTAGAGGTCAAACCCATTAATCCAACAGATGTTTGTGGACTTAAAATCTGAAAAGACATCTCTTGTTTAAGGAGAAAACACTACTAATCTCTCTAAAGTATTTTCACCTTAGTATTTCATAAATTAGTTTATGCATGTATCCAGCAAAATATCTGATTCGTTCTGCTCTAATAATGGCATAAACTCGACTAATACTCTTTGCAAAAACTCCCTCGGGATGTTGACAGGTCATCCAGGCTGTTAAGCTGACAGATGGAGGGCTCTCTCATGAGTATTCTCTCTTTATCCTTTTTATCTCCAAGTTCTCTTTTCTTTGGCCTCAAATGGCTTTTATGTGATGAAGTGATAAAAAATAATCATATCACAAACAACTGATTTAAAAGCTGCCAATGTATTAGCAGCACCGGTTTACCTTGACAACCTCAGTCAATCTGAAGGGATGAACATTGAGAACCTCATTCAATGAAATACTAGAACCAAATATTTTTTGTGGCCACACTATGCTACTGAATCTACCGTGTCATAGCAAAAGAAATTATGCTAGTTGGCCGTCTGAATTGAACATGAGACAGAAAAACTGGACACTCAAATAATAGTGATATTCATAGAAAATACATCTTTCTACTGTATTGTCCTAGCTATTTGCTCTGCGCATAACAAGAAATAGGAGAACATGTAAGACACACAGAAGCATCACAAGCTGTTCCGCTGCAATTCTACAGTGCAGCATGTATTTGCTGCTATGTCAGTGAACTAATGAGATGCTCCATGAGCCACCATTGCTGTAAAAAAAACAGTTCAATGGAGTGAATGGAGTTGACGCAACTCTCTCTCTGGAGGAACATCAGAGAGGGGACGCCATTCCAGAGCAGAAGCAACTTTTCTAGATTTTGATTAAAGTTTACCATGAAAACCAATTTTTTTCTGTGTATTAACTTGCACGTTAATTGTTCACCACATCACTAGTAAATGTGCACTAAGAAAAGATAGTGTCTATTTTGATTTCATGACGACTTTAAATATGTTTATATTAGAGCCAGACCGATATATCGGCAGACCGTTATTATCGGCCGATATTAGGCATTTTCCAAACTATCGGTATCGGCAGTTATAATGGCCGATACATGAATATTTCAAAAATAAAATAAAAACGGACGAAACACGCTTGAACCATGTCATGAGTGTTGGAGTTGTATAGTCCAACTTGTATACTCCAGTTGTATTGTCCACCAGAGGGCACTCTACACCGTCCCTGTTGGCAACACTCGTTGAGTTGGTCATGAGACATACATCGCTTGAATAACAATTAAAAGAACACCCCCATCAGTTCTGTGTGACTATCATGTCCAGTTTAAAAAATAAATAATTAAAATATCGGCCGATATATCGGATTTTAAAACCCAAAATATTTCTATCGGTCTCTGCCTTCAAAATCCTTTATCGGTCGGGCTCTAGTTTATATAAATGTATTAGGGGTGCATTCTCAAAAACAATTTTAAGATGAAATTGTAGACGGATTTGATTAACTCCTGTTTCGTTCCTTCCTTCGTTCTATTACTCCACATACTTGAATAAGCACTGCATCTAAAGTGACTTCATTGGACTTCTGTAATGCATTCAGATTGGTCTCAATCACATCAAATATTTTACTCTCACAGTCGCTTTAGCTAATTTATTCCGCGAGCCGGCCACTCTGAGTTTCACATGGATTGAGTAAGTGTTGTAATTAAGCCGCAGCTAATATCCTCTCGCTCCTCCAAACCAACTGTCAGGAGTTTCACACCAGCTTATTACGTCATTCATCTCACATGGAGAGGGAAGCTGATTCAGGGAATGCCTTGCTGAGATTATCTACTCCAGTTTCAATAAAGAGCATAATTTGTTACACATAATCTTTTAAAGAATTACTCAACAAATTGCATTTCACAAATGAAATACCAATGTTTAAGGCAGCAGAAGAGTGTGTTGCTTTCAGCAACAAAAGACCAGGGGGCTCTCAATGCAGTAGCTAAAATGATCTGAGTACACTGTTAGCAATTGATGTAATTTTTACAGGAAATTTTACAACAATGTATTGTATTTGCGTTTTACCTGTAAAAGGCAATGCACCATGGGAAATTAATGGACAGTCCTGTATTATTATTGTAATTTCACTGTATTCACGGAGTTTTACAATGGTTTTACAGCCACCGCGTTGCATCATGGGATCTTCGCGGTCTGAATTTTGAATTTTTAGGCGGTTAGTTCTAAACGTACATTCTGGGAGTAAGCCGTCATTCAAGAAGACGGAAAAGAAGCAATTCTGGGACGAAGGTAAGTTATCTTCACGTTATGTAATTTACTGTTACCGTTACACATGTATTTTTATAGCGTAAATAAAACGTTATTAGTTCTCGTTATCTGAGTGGATGGTGACGGTTTCGTCTGCTTTGATTAGATAACATTTATTCTTCCATCAGTCCATTGAAATCGGGTACGTAACGTTACTGGTAATTGCTAACATTTGCAACCTTGTTCTTCACAAATTGATGCTATTTTAATCTGCCTGAAGTAACGTTAACGTCAATATGGTTCTTTCACTGTTTGGATGGATTGGCTAGCTAGCTCGAATCTCATTTAGGGCTGTCAAAGAATATTCTAAATTCGAATATATATTCAAAAAGTTTTAAAAACTGAAAATGAATATTCGAATGTGGAAAAACACCCCTGCGGTAGCGCGGCTGTCTGCTTTCCAACTGGGCGCGGCGCGCTGTTGCCTGGTATAACCATAGCTGGGTATAACTTAGTTATTGCATGATAGGTTTGATTAAGTTAGTTACAACAGTTTCATGCACTGCTGGCTTCCACTGGTTTGATTATTTACTGTTTCAGGCCAAGAAAAAGTTACAAGCTCGCTCGGAGCGTTCAATATCGTTTCTCTATAGCTACTGCAAAACTTGAATTAATGTTAGTGCTAATAATATTTATTTCAATCACCGAATGAAGCCAGCTAACGTTATGGGACAAGCGTCGCGACCTTAAATTGCTTGCACAAAACTCTTGATCAGCACAAAACATTTATTTATTGTTGTTTTTTGTTTATACCGTTATGCAGAGAGTGATGAGGGTGAACACGAGAGAAAAAGAGTGAGTGCGAGCGAGCGAGCAAGGTCTGCTCTGTGGTCTGTTGATTTACTTATTTTTGTGGTAATAATATGTTGTCAAATAGGTTTGAACTTAAATAAACTACCTATACAAGTAGTTATGGCTCTTTGTATGTATTTGTCCTGTTATTGACGTAAAGCGCGTCATGGGCCTGTTCTCGCATTTCAGTGAGCTGACCGAATTATTATCCAGGAGAAGCTGCCAGATGCCGTAGACAACAGGAGTCAGAACATCATAGTACTTCAAACAGCAGAATACACCAGGAGTGGGAAAGGTTCTGGATGCTTATGTCTGATGTGAGTACAACTTGCAGTGCATACAAATAAATTAACCATTCCCTCACTCCCATCTCTGTCCTGTTATTTTGTAATTGTTAAAGGGATATTTCACTTTAAAATTAATTTTTGATATGTTTTAGCTTACCTCAAGGGCATCCGAGATGTAGGTGTCTTTGTTTCCACAGTAGTTTAAATTTTGATATTTTTCGGTCAAACCGTTGTTGTCTATCAGTCATATAATACAGCCATGTCCAACTGAACTGAACTGAACCGTGTCCAACGTCCCGCCAGAAGTGATCGTTTGCGTGTGTATGTCACTCATTGTTTACACAGAGATTTCAGGAGTTTTACCTTTCACTAAACATATTTAGATATATCAAAATCGTCTTCCATTGCGATTTTCTGTACATCTAAATATGTTTAGATCTTCACAGTGAAAGGTAAAACTTCCGAAATCTCTGTGTAAACAATGAGTGACGTACACACGAAAGCAATCACTTCCGGCTGGACGTTGGACACGGTTCAGTTCGGTTCAGTTGGACATGGCTGTGGCTACACGAGGTAAAAACGATATAAATACTGTTTGTTTTCTCTCACAAACCGCTCATTTCGTGTCTTAGGCCATCAATGTGTACTTACATTTACGAGTCATTAAATCATGTTTAATTTGGACTTCTCTGTGCATGCTCTTTGAGGTGGTGACCATACACCTCCATTATATGACTGGCAGAATGATGATGGCAAAATGTCAAAATTGAAAATACTGTGGAAACAAAGACACCTACATCTTGGATGCCCTTGAGGTAAGCTAAAACATATCAAAAATTAATTTCAAAGTGAACTATCCCTTTAATTACCAGAAATCAATCACCAGCCCCATCCTTTGCTATGGACACTTTGCACAAGTTATTCTAATTTTCCATTCTCCGAGGCAGTCAACGCACAGGCAGACATTGCTTGAATATTGGACCTTGGCTGATTGGTTTATCACGTTTAGTCCCATCCACCCCCAGCGGATTTTAATTTACTATTTTATTGATGTGGCATATAAAAAAAAAAGATTTGCCATATGCAGCTGTTTCTACATTTGGCACCATAAATCGAAACTGATTTCCCCCTTGGTGTTGAATAGAACATTCCAGCTTTTGGGGCAAATTTTCTTTGTCGTTTACTCAACTTACCCATGGTTAACTATGTTAATGTTTGTTTTTTTTCTCCAGCCCTCTGCCATGGCTGCTGATATTGAGAGAGCTGTCACCCTGCCAAGCACACCTCGATTAGTTGTCCTAGGTATAATCTTCCCTTATTTTGTAAAAGTTAATTCTTTATTGAATTTATGTGTTTGACGGAGGACTGTTGCACATAAAAAAATAATTTATTTGAGTTGTTGATGGAGGGTGTACGGGTCAAAGGAGATAATAATGTTCAAGTGGTGGTGTGGAAGTCTTTCTCCACTTGAACATTACTGAATTCATCTAGGTGGCAATAGTGTGTTGTGCAGCTTTTAGTTATCATATTGTTAATGTTTCATATCATATTGTTATCATAATGTTTTAGAAGAGATACTTCGTGGCGCAGACACATGGAATATCTCCGTGGAAGGAGCATGTGTGATGGGGCCCCACAGTAACCTCCTGCATGGACTGGCAGCAGTCTTCGCTGCCTACTTTGTCTTCAACTTGCAATATCCAGCAGAAGTCGCAAGCACACTTGAATTCCTTCAGAGGTGAGTTTAAACATGACACTGTCATGAAAATGTTTATAGCAATTATGGAGGTATATTTGATTTAAATCAACTGAATGCCTGTGACAGTGCGATTTGTAGTTGTAGAGAAAATCCACACATTACACACACACACACACACACACATCAAGAAATGTGAAGTTGTGGAGAAATTTTGCACATGCTCAAATCAGTATGTGAATTTACCCAAATCATTTTAAGCGAATTTAAAATACAATTGTGCATCATTTCATAAAGTTCATATACGTTTATGAAATGAAATGCACAATTGTATTTTAAGTTCATGCTGAAACTACATTTTTCTTTTTCTTTTTTAAATAATCCATTAAACTTGCTGAGAAATGATTGTGTGAACTAAAATGAGCAGTATACATATACAAGACATATACAAGAAATATTCTTCAAGGTTGCAACTCTCATTGGATGAATTCACATATTGATTTACAGTTGTTCATAAATTTCTCCACGACTTTACATTTCTTGATGCTGGTGTATAAATGTGTTTCACACCAAATCACTGCAGCAACTGTATCAAAAATGTGAGCGTACAAGTTCATTACAGGGATAGTTCACTTTGAAATTAATTTTTGATATGTTTTAGCTTACCTCAAGGGCATCCAAGATGTAGGTGTCTTTGTTTCCGCAGTATTTTCCATTTTGATATATTTTCAGGTCAAACCGTTCCTTGTCTGTCAGTCATGTAATGGAGGTCTATGGTCACCACTTCAAAGAGCATGCACAGAGAAGTCCAAATTAAACAAAATTCAATGACTCATAAATGTAAGCACACATTGATGGCCTAAGACATGAAACGAGCGGTTTGTGTGAGAAAACAAACTGTATTTATATCGTTTTTACCTCTTGTTACCACAGCCGTGTCCAACTGATCTAACGGCACGGGCGCTTCGGTCTGCACAAGCCCCGGAAGTGATCTCTTGCGCATGTACACACATTGTTTACACAGATTTTAGAAGTTTTACTTTTCACTGTGAAGATCTAAACATATTTAGATGTACAGGAAATCACAATGGAAGACGATTTCGATATTTAGATCTTCACAGTGAAAGGTAAAACTTCCGAAATCTGTGTAAACAATGAGTGATGCACATGCGCGAGAGATCACTTCCGGGGCTTTCTGGCGCGCTTGCGCAGATAGAAGCGGCCTCGCCCTCAGAGTACTTGGACGTCACTGCGATTACACAAGGTAAAAACGATATTAATACCGTTTGTTTTCTCTCACAAACCGCTCGTTTCGTGTCTTAGGCCATCAATGTGTACTTACATTTACAAGTCATTAAATCATGTTTAATTTGGACTTCTCTGTGCATGCTCTTTGGGGTGGTGACCATAGACCTCCATTATATGATGCATAGACAACGACGGTTTGTCCTAAAAATATCAAAATTGAAAATACTGTGGAAACAAAGACACCTACATCTTGGATGCCCTTGAGGTAAGCTAAAAAATCAAAAGGAATTTGAGATGGTGTAATTTGGGAGAGAAAAAAAGTTTGCAACTCTTAAAATATTTCTCTCTTTGGCTTCAAATTTACTGATGCACATGCATGGCTTTTGTCTACAACTACAAATCACACTGTCACGGGCGTTCAGTTGATTTGAATCAAATATACCTCCATTAGTAATGACGAAAACGAACAGTATTTATGTTGTTTTTACCTCTTGTAATCACAGCCACGTTCAAGTGATCTAAGGGCACGGGCGCTTTGTGGCTGTGGCTACATGAGGAAAAAACGAAATAAATACTGTTCGTTTTCTAACACAAACCGCTTGTTTTGTGTCTTAGGCCATCAATGTTTACTTACATTTACGAGTCATTAAATCATGTTTAATTTGGACTTCTCTGTGCATGCTCTTTGAGGTGGTGACCATAGACCTCCATTACATGACTGACAGACAGATATCAAAATTGAAAATACTGTGGAAACAAAGACACCTACATCTTGGATACCCTTGAGGTAAGCTAAAACATACCAAAAATGTACATCAAAGTGAACTATCCCTGTAATGTTTCATGTCATGGTAATGACCATGTCATATCAGTCTTAAATGTTATCTGATATGTGTGTTTCCCCCCCTGTTTTCAGAGCCTTTTGCGGCATCCCCAGATGGGCAGGCAGAGAAAAAACGTCCAAAATGTGCATTGTGGACTCGTTTTCTCATTAGTTTTAAGAGAAAATAAAAATATATATTTAAAAAAAAAAAGTGTTTTGTTTTTCTTTGCAGAAGTCTGAAAGAGAACATTTATCCAAGTTACAATATTTAATTGTAATATTTACAATATGCTGTCCTATGAAATTACAGAAAATACCTAAAATTACAGGAAATTCCTGGCTACTGAGTTGCCGTAAATATAAAATTTTGCTGTAAAATTTACAGTATTTTATCCTGTAAAATTACAGTATCTTGTTGTAGTTATTTTACAATATCAGTCCTGTATACTGTTTACAGTAAATTTACGGCAACTATTAGCCAGGAATTTCCTGTAAAATTACAAGAAATTTCTAACAGTGTGCGCAAGTCTTCTGGTGGTTTTGGTTTTGAGGCCTTCTTTTGGGCACTTTTTTCTTACCCTTTCTTGGCCTCATTCCTTGTTTGTTGTATTAATCTCCAAATAATATAAAGCTAATACATTTCATTGACTCTGGAACATTGGTTATTGGTCTTCACAATTCAACCTGTCCCCCTATTCAGGTTGAGTTGAATATGCAATTTTGATCAGATTTGTTTGACTATTATTGACAAGTCAGACATTGTTCCTCGAGATTTCTTTATTCTTCTCAGAGAAACCACGTGCTCACCACTTTGTAATGAAGCTGCTTGTGGCCTTTGTTAAATTCAGAAAAAAACTCATATGACTGAAACAAATTTAAAATCAGGACATAGCACAGACATTAATTGTTTCAACTATGTAAAATGACTAGGACAATCCCCTTCAGTAGGTCTTCCCAAATGGAGGTTTTTGTAGGTTTGGTTAGCTTCTGGGTATAGGCACACAAAGATAAAGAAAGCTTATCTGCATCCCTGACACATCCCTGATGCACAGGAATGAAAGTATATGCAATATTTTTGGGCCGGCAGCCATTTTGCCTGTTCACTGATAGCAACTTAAATCGTCCTTTAATGACAAAAAAACACGCTCTTACCAGTGATGATAGCTCTTCCCTGAGGATAAGCATAGATCTACTTAAAAAGCAGTAGACATTAATGCTGACGCATCCTTTATTCACTTCATAAAAATCTATTCAAATCAGATGCCAGAAGCCCTAGGGCAATCAACAAACTAAAGCCTGTGTCGGGGTCTTGATCTTAATAGCAAGATGGAACAAGAATAACAGCTTTGACAGTTAAAAACAGTGAAAGAGATTTCTACTGTGGATCTTGAGCCCTATTCGACCGGGATTAGTCTTCTAAACAGCGTTTGAGTTACAGTTATCACTTGACGTATGTGATTTTATGCACCGATTCGGATTGGGGGCTAACATTGCTGTGTTTATTACAGAAGTGGGAGTGTGTGTTTACTTACAGAAGGTCATGCACTGTGCATGCGTCACAAATGTCTTTTCATTTATTATTTGTTAATATGATATTAATTTATTATAAACTTTGTGCATTATTTTTCCCCACTGAGCTTGTCAATGTATTTCGGTATTTCTTCATCCGTGAAAGATTCACGCAACGCTGTCTTTGAATTTGGCCCATTCAAGCTATTTTTGAAGGTAGTGTTGCTGCCACCTTTAGCAACTGGCTTCACAATTAGAATCACTTTAAATGCTGTCTAGGCACTTCATTTGGTTGAGGAAGAGAACTAGTGTCAAAATGCCAAACCTTGGCTGAAGTTTAGTATGGAAATGGGAAATACCCTCGCTTTTGTTTTGAAGCAGCTTTGGACAAAAGGCAAAAATAAATAAGTTTCAGTGTGATAATGAGGATAGAAACTATTTCTGTAATTGGAATAACTGTGGAGTTGTAAATT